CGTCTTATCCACCGCCACGTGGGAGGAGATATCGAGGTACTTCGAACAAAGTATCGTAGAATAGAAGAATCTTTCTCGCCTTCCCCTTCCCTTCGCGTGTACGATAGATTTTATTTTGTTTTAACGTTTGTTATCGATATCGATGTTCGAGAAGCGAAAGTTTATGACGGATGATGGATATTGATTTTTATCGAATAGTACTAGTGTAATTTGAAATGTAATCAATTAGTATCGAGGATAATTGATATTCTTGTCTGGTGCCAGAAAAAAGACGAAAATGAACGGAATGGAAATATTAATGACAAGAAGATTGTTTCGTATTTTTTTGGAAACGTTATGATGTTCGTAAAACGAATGTCTCGATAGAGAAAGAATGGATAAGCGTTTATACTGCAATAAATTTTGGCAATATAAAATGTTGAAAATTGAAAATTCTTACCAATGTTTGAAGACGTTGGAATTATAGAACAACAAACATACATTCGAAAGAAAAAGAAAAGAAAGAAATCGCAAAATCAGTGACACGGATTCTCGTTCCAAGAGAGAGTACCAGCGCGAGATACCAAGAAACGAGCAATAATTTATTGCAATAATTAGATTTAAAAAAAGAACAGCCAAAAAAGATATATATCTAAATCAATATCAGATTAAATACATTTAATTTAGATTGTACGAAACTTTTATTTCAGCGATATAAAATGAAAACGTGAAGAACGGTGATAATCAATGTTAAGTAAAAGTTTCTAAAGTTTCTAAACTTAGGTTTCTAAAAATCAATTAAAAAAAAAAAAAAGATAGTATAGAATATGTAATATATCCATACATACATGTGCAACAAAACAAAACAAAAAAAAAAAGGAAAGAAAATCAACGACACGAATCTGGTCTCCAAGCGTATCGAGAGATACACACGAACGATACACAAGGACGATTCATCAATCGACGAGGTACGATGACTGGCATCGGTTGGCAAGGCCAACTGATGCACCTGAAACGAACGAAGAAATTGGCGAAGATGGAGACTCGAGGAAGCTCGGTGTCACGTCGAGGAAAAAGTCTCGATCGCGATCGCATAAATCCAGGTCAAATCGAAGGATCGAAGCGGATTACGGGCGCGCTTCTTATCGGTCACCGGTCGAAGGGAACAAATGGCGCGTCTCTGCGCGCGCAGATATCTCGTTGCGATCGTTGGAAAGTGTCAGCGGAATTTTTATTCGGCGTTGATCGGACGGGCCGAGGTATTCGCCGCCGTGATCTGTCGATAGTGGATAGTTCCACGGTTGAGCCATTCGTATCGTGCACCGTGTGCGTTGGAATCTTCTATTATTGTACGCGTGTGACTATCTTTCGATTTTTGTAATCCGAAATGAAATTCTCTGAATTTTTACTTTGTAACACGACTATCTTTTTCATCGAATTAATTCTATTAAAGTCCATAATTTACATATAATTTTACTTGCATGATTATTTTGTATTTTTGGATATTTTTGAAATAAATAGTGAAATTTTTGGAATTTTGTCGATATTGAATCTTTTGAAATAGTGATTGGATTAATCCTTTTACAATATGACTACTGTTATTTTATAAATAGCAAAATTTTGGAATAATAATTTTGTTACGACTGAAAGATGCTCTATACTTATAGTTTGTTAATATTTTTTGGATTTTTGTGAATAGTAATAATGAAATTTTTAAAATATAGTAATCAATCTGATGAATCTATGAATCTATACTTGTATACTTTTGTGATAAATGTATAAAAACTTAGAACGTAATAAGTCACAGTATAATAATTACAATGCAATAATTCTTTATTGCCAAATAAACGTATTCTTTCCTTTTAACTGCGATTAAAATCAAATATTTCGCAATTACCACTCTGTCAACAGTGCAATGCACAAATGACACAAATTATTTGCATCACAAAAAACGACACAGTTATCGACGTGGTTATGTCAGATAGTATTTCACGCGTATCGAAAGGCAATCGATCGAAACGAGATTTATTTATCAAAGAGATTAATCGATTCGTTTCTTCTACTCTTTTTTGCTCATTAACCTGAAATATGCTGACAAAAATCGAAATTTCTTATCACTATCCACCCCGCATTGTTCACTCATTTTCCGTTATTATAATTTTTAAAATTAAAATTAAGATTGTCCACTCCTGATGGCGGACAATTCTCTCTCTCTCTCTCTCTCTCTCTCTCTCTCTCTCTCTCTCTCTCTCTCTCTCTCTCTCTCTCTCTCTCTCCCCCTCCCCCTCTCTCCCTCTCCTTTGAATATATATCAATATGAAATAACGAATGGAAAAAAAAAGTTGTTAAATTATGCATCGTCACGAGATTCAAGATAGGATTATGATATGTAATTCTCATTCTTTTTCAAAGATAAGTTGATATATGTTACTGCCTACCTGCCTGGTAAGTCCGTCTTTTTACGTTTGGTTTCATGAATACGTTTGACGTTCGGATGACGGTAATCGATTTCAATGCGATTATCGAATATATTAATCGATGTTTTAAACTCGTAAACGTTGGATCATCCGAGGATTCTTGCCTTTGAAATGGAAACAGATATTGTCGTATTCGTTTTATGAATAATTAATTGGTAATACACGCGTTGAAATTACAGGTTGTTGTCAAGGTGAAATCTTATGACATCCGTGAAATGAATTATAAAATTATCTTGTATACAATTTCCAAGAATTCACAATTACACGTAGATCTTTCTCGCCCATCTTTTAATCTAAATCTTAACACAAAGTTAAAATTTGAAAAATTTTTATTTCTACAAGTTTCGTATCCACGTATGAAAATATTTTATACTTTAAAAATGGAAATAAAATATATTTTCCACTCGACAACAATTCTAAGAATTATCCACGAATAAATTTCACATTACATGAATAATTATATTTGTCAACCTTAAGAATCCTTGTACGATGATCGTAGATATGATGGTTAATAGGAAAGAAGAACTGTCGACGATTGAATCAAGGATCCAATCTCATCCGAGATCTCATAACTGAAGATCGTCCTTGAACGATGTCCAAAAACTCTTTCTATTCTCGTTTCATATGTTTCCTTGTCAAATTCATAAATTTGTCCCGAGACACAGCAGGTTGGTATCGTGCAGCGTGGATACTCGTGTCCCGAAAGTCGACAAGCGTGACGGATAAGCTATGAAACAGGTCAAGGAGCGAGTTCTCCCTCCTTTTAAAAACGAACACGCGCCTCCCAGGACGAATTTTCTGTCAGAAACTTATTCTGGATCCAGCACGGTGTTAGATTCATTCATCTCCAAAAATTAAAAACTAAAAATGATAGTAGATCTTTTTACGAGTCGTTGAGAACCACTGTTTTACTTATTGAAAGTGAATATTGAATTTTATTTGACATAAAGAGAATTATAAAGGATTAAAATAGACTTCTTTATGGATCGCAAGCCACAGGTTGAGAAGTGCTGTTCTATATGTCAAAAGTGAATATTGAAATTTTCTTGAAACAAGAACTGCAAACAATCTCCAAAATAGAATCTCTAAAAAAACATTTCGTATCCATTTATAGATTGCAACTCATAGATTGAGAATCACTGTTCTATACAAATATGATAGTGATAAAAATAGAACTAAATTAAACATTCAATTTGTCACAAGATTATAAAGAACATTATTAAATTAAAATCCTCCAAAAAACATTTTATAATCTATTTATAGATTTATCAGATTTTTAAAATTATTATCTTTTACATATTGAAACGAAATCGAATATCGAGATAACACAAGATTACAAAGATTAATAAAGGTTGAGAACCATTGCCCCATATATCGAAATTATACAAAACATTAAAATTTCAAACGTTAAATTTTACTCGATGCAAGATTACAAAAGCATCCCAAATCATCTCGAGTATATTCAAAAGGTACATCGATAACTTATTTCTGAACGGAAGTGCTCAAGGAACCGGTTGCCAACTTCGCCTCCAATTATCCTCTTGTCGTTCCCGCCCGGTGAGCCAACCACATTGTACACACACCGTGGCAAAAATCAACGGGCAAATTACACTTTTATGGGAATGTTTCGTGACGATACCAAGTTGTGCGCACACGCTTGACAAACGCAGATAACCTGGCACGGTGACAGCCGCGCACGCCATTTCCCACCGCGGTTGTCCGGCCATCGTCCCGATTACCAACGAGTAATTGATTCGGCGCGTTTAATTTCACGAAAATTACCGGGACGTGAGGCCGCGGAACGCAAGTGCCGCTAATGGTTATAATTTACGGAAACGGGACCGGTCGCTCGACCGCGCAAACCACTCGAGAACACGGTTCATTATTCAGCGAGAGAGGCACGAGAGAGCGAGGGATTTTCGCCGGAAGGTGCCTTATACCGAGCATTTTCTTACATGGACCGCTAACCCTTGGACGCATGGAGACTTCCGCCTTGTGCAATCTTCGGGAGAAACTTTTGTGCATCTTTCTTTTTCTTTTCTTTGTTCTCGATCTTGGTTTTTATTTATTTATTTATTGGATGTTACTCCTTCTTATCTTTTATTTCTCATCTTCTGAAATGAATAGATTGGAATTAAAAATAATATAAGTAATGTATGTTATATAATAAGTTTTATTTGTGAATGTGTTTAATAAAGAATTATCTTATGATTTGTTAGATATTCTGTAGATATTTAAATTTTTGGAATATTCTTTTTTTTTTATTAGTAGTATAATTATATGAATACGTTACCTTAAAAATTCTGAGAAAAATCTATTTCTTTTTCTTTTTTTCCAGTAATATACAAATAGATAATTTATATTTTCTAAAATGCAAATTAAGATCATCATAATTTTTCAAATAAGAATTAAATAAATGGCAATCTTTTTGATGTTTCTGATCAATAAAAATTCACGAGGTATTATCCTTTTAACTTAACTTAATGCTTAATTCAGTGGTATTACGTTACAAAAAGAAATGTAGATATCGTGATATTCCCAAAAGATACGTTTAATTTGGTCGTTAGTTCCGGTTCGTTACTCGTGTGAAGCTTTGTAGAAAAATTGTCCCGTGTCATTCATAAATAATTGATACCTACATCGTATGTGATCACATTCTACGGCTTATTATTTTAACATCTGAAATCGCGATTGCACGACTCATTATTCATTTTTCTCAGCATCTGTTTAAAGGTTAATGGAGCCTCCTCGCAGCGATTGTATCGTACTGTGGAAACCTTCATCGAAGCTTGGAGGTGTCTCTTCCAGTAATTAATAACGCCATTAACATCATAATGGCCCGTTAAGTGTGAAACTAAAAGACAAAGGAACACAATAACGCGATTAAGATGTCATAATATTGTAAAATGTCATAGAAGGTTAGGTTAGGTTAAAAGAAATATTTTTAATTATACATCGGCATTTCACGAAAAGTAAGAAACGTTTTCTTTTGGATTTATTAAGAGCTCTTCAGAAATATTATTTCTAGCAATATGTTTTTACAATGGATCGAAAGATATATTTTTAAGATTTATATTTTCGTATTTGCGTATGTCTTTAATAGCGGACTGTACAAGGATTTATAGTAGTGTGTAAAGTACATGAAGAGAATGACGGAGCGTTTATCAATATTGAATCAACATTGAATCGACGTATTGTTCGACAAAAACGAATCACCTGTAAATTCATCTGAACGATGATCGAGTGACATGAAGGAAGATTACGCCATTGGACTTGTACTTGTACTCTGTGATTGAACCTGCATCGACGGTACAAGATGCTTGTATCTTCTTTTTAGCTTGTATATTCTTGCAAATTCAATTTCTATTATTTCTAGCCAGGGTAAAAAATCAGTTATCTTGATATAATAACTGTCGATATCGTCTTAGTCAATCATCCACATCGTTTCAATTAGAAATAACAGGAACATCTCTCATACATTGTAAATCAAAATCTTAAATCAAATTAATTAAAATTTAATTAATATTCTAAAATTACATTCTTATTTTTTTATTTCATATATTATTTTATTTCATATATTTGATCATCGATATATTTAGTATCTTATGATTTAGATATTAGTTAAAAATAATTCTGATCAATCTTTGAGCGATTTAAGAATCAATATAAATTTAAATTATTTTATTACTTAAGTTTATTTATTCTGAATAATCATCTATTAATTTCTCTAATTTAAGATATTATTATTTCAATAACTTGAAATCATTTCCAAAAAATAACACGCACAATAAATATTTCAGAAATACAAATCATCTTACATCACTTACCAATTCCTTATCATACACCGTTCACTTTCTTCTCGCGAAAAACACTCGGTTCTCAGAGACACGCGTGTACGAACCTTCTTTAGAATTGGCGCGCGAGCACCTCTACCAGGCAGAGAAAAATATCCAAGATGAAATCGGCGAGGGTCAAAATGCATGACAAATAACAAGGCTTGTCCACCGCGGAATGAAACAAAACCCCTGGCAAAGAAGTGGACGCCGCTTTGTTCCCCATTGTAGGCCCGGTGTCACTTCAAGGCAACGTTGCATTCGGTTGGCCGCGGCCCAGCGCGGTGTCGGGTCGCCATCAGATGACGGTTGATAAAGGAACGACAAATTGGTACCACCCGAACGAGCGCTGCTCTTCGCGCAAGATCCGACCACGATAACACTCGTGTCGATAAACACGCTACACGGCCAACGTCTGCCGTGATTTCATGCGCCGCCGTGCACACAATTTTCATGGATGTTTCCGGTACGCTTAAAAAATCGCCATCTTTTTCGTGCGTCAAGCTGACCTCTTCAGGCAAGAATATGAGTTACATGTTATTACATGTACTTAAGTACTGTGCGTTTGCCAAAAGATGGCTAGACAAAGTATTTACGCTTTTATTCTATTCTCACTTCACTGCCATACTATATTATTATTGGTTATTGACTAAGAACAGTGAATAGAAAGTTGGACAATAACTATATCGAAATAAAATAAAATAGAAAGATAAATTTACAACATTGACATAGCCTTTCAATCAAAGAAATTCTATTGGTTTATAATTGATATTTTAATTGGATTATCGCAAGTGCTATGAAATTATTCTATTTCACTTTGTTTCGATATGTCCATTGTCGATCTTTGTCACTGTCTTTAGCCAATAATAACGCGTATACTAGCAAAGAAGATGGAATAGAGAACGCTTTGTCTAGTTATTTTTTGATGAACGCATAACTTAATCTCTTTTCTTCTGTGCCATTCGGTTTACGATCTTTGCACTTTTTAATTTCTGTTCGTTCACATCAAGATGGCAAGCATAAAAATATAAGTATTTATTATTGCCTGATGAAGAAAACAAATAAACGTATCGAGTATAATTGGAATCGATGTGATAACGATGATTTCAAAGCATTAAAAACAGAATGTTAAAATGTGTCCTCATAATTTTCAAAAATTCTATTAGTTATTCAATACTAGTGTATTCAATGCAGATAAACGAAGAAAATTGAAATCCCATTTCCTCTCTGCCATTTCGTTTGTTATTTTCTCAAGAAAGAAGAACAAATATTTTTTAAAAGAATTATAAAATTCTTTTATCGAAGTGAGTAAAATTTGGAATAGAAATTGGATTTAAAGTAAGATTAGAGAATTGTATAAGATGTTAATATATTCGTTAATTTTTAAAAATCGATTTTGGAGGATAAAATAAATATAAAAATTCTATAAATATCGTGATAAGTATACTATTTTAGATATTTTATTTTAAATATTTTTATTATAAATACTTTTTAGATGTTTAAATTTCTTATGAACATATAAACATCCATAGTCTAGTTATAATGGAGACAGAGCTATTTCATTTTTTTTATCTCATTATATCTAATATTTAAATTATTTATATCTTATATAAATAACCAGATATTAATTAACCAAGATTTTTAATCGTATCATTTTTGACAGTCAGTAATGTGCCAACAATCTTCAATATCACGCTGAAGCAGCGAAAATAAAATGATAATAATGTTGATTCAACGAAACCTTGACCACGAAAAATTAATCACTCATGGAAATTTCAAATTTTAGAGTAAGCAATTTTTTTAAATATTTACACAAATTAATTTCTACTTAATTTTCTTAAAGAAAAATAATTGTTATAAGGGAATTTACGAATTTCTCATTTGTTCCATTGTCGAATGTTCGAGATTCTACCAAGCAGATCCGCGATTAATTCAACCGGAAGATTCCTCCACCTTGTAGAAAATTTTTTCTCGTCGATGAACATTTCGTCGTTCAACCTAGTGGCGTTCATCGGATCGAGATCTGTAATCGGCCAACCGTGATCCACCGCATGGTGACTTTTTTCTAAGAAACAATGTACCTTTTGTGGACACTCGATGATATCGAGATATCGGTAGGAGAACTCGTTTTTTGTTCCTTAGTCCTACTTCCATTTCGAATGTCCTTCCTTTCTGAATTCATTAGCATCTTGATCTTGGAGGTTAGTCAAAATTTCTTCTAGGAGTATTAATAATTCGATTTCAAAATAATGTTGAATTTATAAACGAATTTTTTTTTAATACGTTTACAATTTAATTTCTATAAGATGAAAAAATATTTAAAGAAAAATAATTTAGAAAAATAATTTTTAGAAAAATAATTTATTTCTTTCATTAAGGAAAATGTAAAACTTTTATCTTAAAATAAATACTTAAAAAAATAAATAAATAAAATAAATAAATTAGAGAAGAATTGTTAATAGAAATATTTATTTTTCTTAAGAAATTCACATTCGAATGAATTCCATACAACTTCAAAATATTGATTAAAAATCACGTGCATCGATAACACATTGAAAAGATGAAATATTTATCATCTAATGATTGTTTGATAAATAATATTAAAAACATTTCTACTTCTATGAATGTTACTATAATAGTAAGTACCATTAAAACTTCATTCAAAGCATTAGTTTTTCAAAGAATTTGAAACATTAGAGGCAAGTTTTTTTACTATCAGAAAAAAAAGAAACTCATCAAATGTTATGTTAATTTACATATTTTAAGCATTTTTTAAAATTAATTTAATCCTTCACTTAAACTTAAAATTCAATATCAACCAACTTGAAACGATTTCCAATTAGAATCTATTTGTCTATTTTTGATCAATTCATCTGATTGTTTTATTGCTAAACTTTAGATCCAACACAAATAATTTTTATCGTATAACCCTTTTCGTTTTTTTCAGTTGAAAAAAAAAACAAAAAAAGATATACAATCACAGCAAAATGTTATCACTCATGCGCATAAAATCTTTTCTTGAATAATACATGATTCTATTTGGCCATAAATTCACATACTTTTATGTGGCCAAAAGAGTACGTCTTAAAGAATCGTCTCGAAGATTAATCGTTCTCGACGACACGATGGAATCGCGATTAATTTCGTGAAATCGTTGAGCGTGATTCCCTTTCGAGATTGATCCTCCACCCTCTTTTTACGATGTTTCGTGATAGAGAAATCGGAAAACCAGGCTTAAAATGAAACGCCAACCGTCTTAAATGGTTCGTAAGTTCGTGTATTTTGTAGCTTATCGTTACGAGTGTTGGTAACTTGGGTCACGCCATACTGCTGTTTCCTGTGTTGTGTGTTATATAGAAGAGGTTTGGTCGAAGGCACAAGTTTGATAAGTGGAACGATTTATTTTAAGCGATGCATACCCTCTACTTACTATCGTGAACATCCTTTTGCAGAAATTTTGCACGTGTGCGTAACGTAAAAGAAAATTTTCGATTGGCCGATACGTTTAATTTAATTTTTTTTAATAATTTAATTTAATTTAATAATAATTAATTGTTTATTGTCGTTCATTATAAACGAAATTATAAGAAATTTAACGTCTTCGTTTAATCTTTCCCTTAATAAATTTTTCATAAAATTGATCTTCTCAATTTATTCTTGTAAAGAATTTTATTAACTTTATTATACTGATACATACAATTCTTTTCAATTCATTTTTTTTTCACATTTTTTTAATAACAAAAAATTTCTCATTCTCATCTATAAAATACAAAATTTATAGAAAATCCAATGTTTTGTTACTCAAATCTATATATATTTTACACACTTTCAAGCAGTATCAGTTCGAGGATAATTCGAATGAGGAACAGGTTGTTGGGATTCGAGCTCGCGATTTTTCATATTCGATTAATCGACACGGGTCGAACGTCAGCCGAAAAGCTTAATCGTGGCCAATGTGCAACTTTATTAACCCGCGGGATCTCAATTGTGCCGCCTCGGCCAACCGATTATCTCTCGTTTCCTCCGGGATTGATATGCCAATTAAGCAATACCTCCATTGGCTCCCTTTGGTCTTCGAACGAACGTCCATTCGGAATCGAAATGGATACACTTTGTGCCAGAGTCCTCATTTTTTGCACCCTTTTGATCGATAACGATATTTTATCAGCATTTTTTTTTTTTTTTTTTTTTTTTTGAGACTTAAGGAGAATGATTGAAGAAAAAACATTTATACGATATTTATTGTATGATTTAAGAAATAGAAATATTATTAGATTTTCAATGAATATTAAAAGTTATGTATAATAGACTTTTTCATATATATTTTATTTTAATTGACTTTATTGTAATCGATAAATTTGTTTGTAAAATTTTGTTTCAGCACAAGAATTGAAGAAATAAATAAAAATTGACAAATAATAAATTACGTATATATATGTATTTTTATTTTTCATAATCTACGATATTGTTGAATTAATCGTACATATTCAAATTATAAATTGATTATATCATTTTTTTTTAATTCTTATGATAACATTTCTAACTTCAAGTATTGTTTTAGAAATTTTACTTAGTTGAAACTAAACAATTTATCATCATAATCTAAAATTTCATTAAAAAAAAAAAAAAAAAAAAAACAATTTATCCACAAATCATTAAAATCGGCAAAAGCAAAGAACGAGATAAATTATATATTAACTATTACGGTGCAAAGAAAAGCAGATTTCTCTTAATAACAAATTGAATGATTAATTTCCATGATATCGAGCGATCAAAGTTTCCTCGGGATAGTGGGCTTGAGATCAATATCTCGCGAGTACATCGATATCGCGCCTTAGCCATGTCGTAACGACTTTATAACGGATATATCGGTGACAGGATCGAACGTCAATCGATGACTCACGACACAACCCTTTTGTAATGTTAGAACGATCGTTGGATAAAACGGCGACGATTGAGTATAATGAACGAGGAATTTACGATTGACTTTTGCATTGATTCGATTTAATCGGTATAAATAGAATGAGTGTGAACTGTTGGGTGATAGGAATGAGAATTATTGAAGAAATATATATCCGATTTTGCAATTGTATGGATAATAGATTGAGTTGAAATTAAAAAGTTTAAAAGGAACGTGTGACATTATTTCCTAAGAAAATTTATTGATAACCTAACTGTTTCTAATTAATAGTGAGATTCAAAAGATTGCAGTATTGTAAAGATAAATAATATATATTTTGTATTTGAAGTTATTATTTCTATATTATATGATATTTCTAGTTTAATCGTAGATTTATTGTCTTTGTTTTGAAAGTCTTTTTCAAAAGATAAAGTGCAATGATACATTTATGTAAAAATATTCTAAATTACAAAACTTTAATTGAACTTTTATTGAACGATACAAAAGCTAACCTAAAAATTGAATAAAAAATAAAAGTCAATTTATTCT